CATTAATTACGTTTAGCTAGTCATCAAAAGGTGATTTGAACCTATTATAACCACTTAAAAATATAACGTGATTGGACTATCTTCAAACTTACAGATAAAATAAATGATCCCGTATCCAATATGTTATAAGATATTTCATTTCTCTTGTTGAATATTGCCAAGTTGGAAAGGTATATAGTTCAATCTTATTGATCATATTCACATACAGTGTGTGTGGATTTTCTAGAATGCGCCATTTACTGAAGAAAAACGTTTGGTTTTGTTTAGCCACTGACAAAAGTGAAAGCGAGTTTAATTATAGAGTACAGCCTGTCGGTTGTCAAATAACAACAACCAAATGGGAAACGACACGAGGAAGGTCATTTGGTCCATCTGCGGCAAGTCGTCTACTTTCAGTCTTCCTCAACGAAATTAGGTATCTAAAAAAATCCTTCGAAAACAAAAATTCACAGAACTAAATCAACAAGGAAGAGAAAGTAATGTCTTGTTTCTTTTATTTCTTCTTTAGTAAACATTTCAAATTCTTAAATTAATAAATTCTCTAGGTAAAAAACTAATAATACAAAATTTTACATTAAGTCATTTCCATTTGCTATTATGCAAAGACACTTCTAACATTTTCAACATTTTAAAAATAATTAAATATTATGTAATAGTTTACAATTAGCAAAAAAATAAATTGCAACCATTTACTACTTCACAACTTAATAAAATTATGCTAATATTAAATATATTTTATTCGTTATTTTAGCTTAATTGTAACACTAAAAGTTACTTAAAACATCGGTAATACAGACTATAAAAAAATCGATAGTTGCAACATATGATTAGTACAGGTGGAATTCAATTCACTAAACTCTAAAAAGCATCGTATTTAAAACTGGCAGCCAAAGAAGAAATATTGCTAGGAAAGACAATAAAAACGAATCCTGTCAGTAATGCGCGTTTTTGACCACACCTCTATATGACATATGACCTCTAAATATGACCGGGGCGTATGTATTCTTGATAAATGACATACAAACTTTTCACTCCTTAGTTTATTCTGTGACAGTCATAAATCTAAGTATCTCGACAGAGAAGAAAAGAGATAAGTATGCAGAATTTGTCTCGAGAAATGATGATGACTCGGTGATAAGTGTTTCAGAGTTAAACTTTGACAAAAAGTCATTCGGTAGCAAAACCAGATAAGCTGTCTTCAAAAATGAGATAGGCAAAGAACATCGGAAATGTGTTTTGAATAGTGCATTTCAGAAAGCCTTCTCATGAAATGGATTCCTTCTCCCATTCATCTAACAAATGCCAGTACACATTAAACCAGGAATCAGTTATAAAGTCCGATCGGCGTAGACATGTGCCAGGTTACTTGTTCCCATTTTCGGTCTAGGATGTGTTGCTATGACGACCGTCTGACCATTGTTTCCTTGCATCTTATTAGAAACCGTGAAAAAATATCAGACATTAGGCCAAAGGCTGCATATTTTTCCTCCATTAAGTGATTTACTTGATTATCCTCCCAGTTTACGATGCAGACTAATGTTACTTTAGCTACAAGTTAGAATTTCGAAAAATGATAAGCAAAAATTCAATTAGGAATATTCTATATTAATGGTTGCCACTTAGTGATAATATATATAATAGACTTACACTTATACAACTTACAAAATAGTGTCATTATTTGCTAAACCGTAATGTAAGTGAAATCCAATTAAAAAAAAGAAAACAAGAATTATAAAGTCATTTTCCTATATTTAATGGTGAAAAAAGCTCTTGCCTGTCGCAAAAAAAACGAGATAACTGGATTTAAAAGCAATCAAGGATAAAAGTTTGAATCTAATTAAAGTTGTAACTTCTGTATTTTTAACAACATTGAAAATAACGCAACATTCAGAGATATAATCCATTTTCTCGTCAGTCTAATTCACACTGTCAGATCTCATATCCTGTTACATATCACCAGTTATCCTCGTGATTACTCTTTGAAAAAGACACCTGTTTCTTTCAACGAAAAATTATTGAAAAGAATTTAATCTTTGTTTTGGGTAATCAAGCGACTTTTTAAATAAAATTCTACTATAAAAATTGATTTTTTATTCAATAATTTTAGAAACAAAAGATGTAAAATCAGAGATTACTGGATTCTATTCACAGAAATCTTTTCTCTACAAAGTAATTATAGGGTATATTTAAGTTTTAATATAGTTTTTTTTTTGTTTAATATATTGTAAATTTTTATTTAAAAGTTTAAAAGAACGACATGCTTTAAGATAACTTCAAATTCTACAAAAAGGAATCTGTTAATAATATTTAATAAATTATAAATACTATTAAGTCTTACAGCTTATAATCACGAACTCAAAGAAAACTAATGTCTTGAATACGTTGAAAAATAATGCCAAAATTTTTTAAACAAATTTTTACTAAATTACAAAGTAGATTTGCCACAAACAAATTTATCTGGAGAACTATTCTCCAAAAATAGGTTTGCAGTTTGCCCAAACATCTCAGATGCGGCAATGGACGAGGTATTGATCAAAGTCGATCGCTTTTACTTTTGTCAAACTAGTTTTCTTTCTGATATTCCGGTAAACAATTTCTCTTACAGATCCACACGCCTTGGTAGGATGAAGGAATCTCTTAAAGCATTTGAAAAGATTTCCCTTAGGGTCTCCAGAGATCAGTTAGAGCCAAGTCGCGTTGTTGGTTTATATACTAGCACCATATAAGCAGCATACAAACAATGTGGAATTTCAATTGTCAGCTGAGTAAGAAGTAAAAAAAATCACAGTCTCGCCTAACCCATTGCAGTATGTATACCAGCTCTTTTCCTACAGATCTTTTGCGTGACTGTAAAATAATGTATGAAATATTTTGCAAGTAAAATTAATCTAGAAATAAAGAGAACAAGGATTTAGAAAATGAGAAAGTATAAATTAATTAAAATTCATTAATATAAATTCAAATATTTTTCTCTTAGTGACATAATTTCCGTGTTCGACATAATTATTTTATTTATAACGGTACCAATTTATCAAATATTTTCAATTGTTGGTTTCGCAAACGGCAGGAAGGCATCTATTATGTGACTTACTTTATGCTTATTCTATAAGCATAAAGTAAGTCAATCTAATGCTGTTTTGTAGGAAGACGGGGATAATTTAAAAGCATAAAAAGATTTATCTCCAGGGATAGAAGTAATTAAAAGAGAATCCTTTCCTTGTTCGTTAAAACTATTGATTTCAATCATGGATTTACATACGATAGAAACAATAAAAAGGAGAAAAAACAAATTAAGCTAGTTACATTTTACGAAGGACTAATCCCTCGATACATCGAAATTGTAGTTAACATAAAAAACTCCTTTTAATAATGAGAATTCTCGATAAATCACATTTAAAACTTTATTATAAAAAAAGCAAAAATTTTAATTTCAAATTTGAAAGTCATATTATTTCATTACTTTTTTGTCTTGATAGGTGATCTAGTTTGAGTATAAAAATTTAAAACATAAATTTAATTAAAAATCAATGAATTAACAGCTTTCAAGAAATTACCATTTTACTATAGTTTAGATAAAAATTACTTATGAATGAAAAAATTGTAAAAAATAAAATGTATATTTAAGCATTCTTTTTCAAATATTTAATTTATTAATCTACAATGTTTATCGCTACTTGAATTTTTGTATATGTTAGAACCGAAGTGAATTTAGCTTATTCAGGAAGCATTTAATAATGAGGCAGACAAACAATTACTTAGACTACGAAGAACTATCACACTTGCTTATAACACTTCATTTAGTATCTTAGAGACAATAAAATTTTATTGTTGAAAAATAGGCAGGGTCATTTTCTTGAAGGGAAATCCTTATAAATGATTATACGTATACATTATAATCATTATAAGGATTTCTCTTACCTTCCCTATTTAAACACACACATATATATGTATAAGTAGGGAAGGGAAATCCCCATAAATATATATATAACTTATGTTTAAACACTCTTATTTCTTCTATCAATTAATAAAATACAATTTACACATACGCATATACATATTATTTAAATTATGAATTCAACTTTAATGGTAATTGTTCACAATCATTTTTATTAGTTTTTACACAGATTAAATAAATATAAATATACACTTATATTAGAAATAATTGTTGATCGTAAATTTTAATTTAAAGGTTAGAGAGGTGTAAATCTCTGTTTTTAAACAATTTATTCTCTTCATCTTTTTAGTTTTTTTTTCTTTAAATGTATGGTTTCTAGTCACGTACTCAAAACCTAAATAAATTACATCACCTAAAGTTGTCACCAACGTCAATCGATAAACGAGAATGCAATTATTCTTGTAAAGAGTGTATATAGTATACAGTATATACAGTATACAATAGTGTTTAAAAACAAGATAGATTTATTATATCTTCTTTTAAAAAATTGCAGTTAAAGTCAACAGTTAAATAAATCACGATAAAACTTTTCAATCTGGATCTTAAAAAAGTAATAGAATAAGAAGAAAATGAATGCAGCTTGGAAAAGTATTTAAAATAATTTTTTGCGTGTTAGAGGTTTTAGCGATGCATGGGTGCTAATTAAATGGAAATTGTATTCATCTGAAATGTATCAATGTATAGAAAATGGTCGACTCCCACTAGGAAAAGATCCTACATCAGAAGACTAGTGATGAGCTAGCAAAGCCCGAGGCTCATAATGACTCATCCATTTTCATGCCAACGGTGGCAATATTTTATGCAAATCGAATTCGGATAGATATCCGTTAATCTTCGTTAATTGTAATATAATTTTGCCGTTTGTATTTAACTATTACCAAAGTGTGTTGGACCTATAGTTACCGACTGCGCGTTTCGCCTTAACAAAAATCTGATTTTCTATTAGCTAGTAAAGTAGAGAAGCGATGACAACATTCTAATCTCCAAAGAAAATATTAAATTGGTTGATGTATAAAATCGCGGATATTTTATAAGAATAACTCACCCACAATGGCGAACAACTGAACAGTAGCCACACTTCGCCGGTATCTCATCCTTGCACCGTTAATTTGGTGCCTTCAGACATGTCCGTGGTGGTCACGGAGTTAACATGGGTCCAAGTTTTGCTCTGTCCGACATTAGATGTTTGCTACAGACGACCAAGATATCCGGCCGACCGATTCTCCGGTGCGAGTGCCACTGTTAGATCACTGAACCACGAGGCTGTGCGTGCTTTGATACCATTGTGACGTCACGCGGACCGTTCCTAAATGATAGAAGGAGAAAGGGTGTCTGAAGTAGAGGGACACGGTCCCCGGTGTGATTAGTAATACTGGCAGATTGTCAGAATCTGGGACAAGTTAGGACCGCCTTCGATACACACTGCCAGTGTAACACGAGAAGTTGTCATCATCTTAACAAATTACCTATCGGTGTTGGTCAGCGAAATTCTAACAAGTTGCACAACTGATAACCGTCAATGTTAAACATCATACACTTTGAACTTGTGAAATTATTCTCTTCGGAATTTTAATCAAGCAAATATTTAACGAAGTGCAAATTTTTAAGTATTAAATTTAAAATTTATTATTGGAAAATTTTCAGAACTTTATAAAATCTATTAAAGCATTCCATTGATAAATTGAATATTTATTGAAATTATTAATATTAAGATAAATTTTATTTCCATAATTTTAAAGTAATACTCACATAATAGTAGAAGTGTAAATTTTTAAAAAGTTGTTTAAAAAGAAAAATTCTGAAACTTCAATTTTATATGTATTTTAACAAACAAAAAGTAGATATTTGCGTATAAAATTAGATAAATTTGTAAGTTTTGAATATTTTTAATAATTTGATATTGTAAATTATGTAAATTTTTTTTTCGTATGCTTGAAATATAAAAATTTAAACTGTTAAATATAGAAATTTTATTAGGATAATCATTCATAATTTGTATGCGTTAAAGAACGTACAGCACAATGCGCACTTATGGTGTGTATCAAAACAAAGACAGATACAGTATATGTTAATACGTCATAATCTAGATTTATAACGTCTTTCGAAGGTAATAAAAATATCAGATACACTAAAATAATATTATACGTCGTCTAATATGGTACATTTCTATACATTACATTTCTTTTAAAGCGTTCTTTTTTCTACTTTTATCGATTTCTGAATTATTTTTACATATATTTTATAGATGACGTAAGTCTTCCCTGCATGAAAAAGTAATTTTTGTTTTTCAAATTTAATGAGTTGTTTTTTGAAATATGAATATAAAGTAATTCAACAAAATATCCCACTAAAATATCTGAAGATTGTCATAAATCAGCTTTACCATTCAATTCAGAACAGATCATGGAATAATTCAAAAGAATTATTTGTTCTCTTACCGCTGGCCGGAACCGCTTTTAAGTTCAGAAAATCTATCTGATAAATCTCTTTATCTTCTATTATATACATATATCAAATTTATTTACCGGGATCCTTTCATTTTAGTAGAGATTTATATTTTCCGCAAAAATTATTTTATTAAAAAATCGAGTTGTAATTATATTGGTGAACAAGCTAATAAAAAACAAAAAAAGAGAAAGTATTGCCCCTTTTTTTAGTGTGGTAAATCGTTTATTAAGAAGCTAGACTGATCTTTAATGGAAGTGTACAATTCCTTTGTCGCTTTTTGCCACACCCGAATTGGGAGTTGCCTGAAAACGGGCGGAGAAGTATAAGGCCTATAATTCAGTGATAAACTGTGCGTTGTAATCTGTTTTAACTGCTCTAACGTTATTCGACTATGATTCATATTTATCTGTAAGATAAATTCTCAGTATTATTTTGAAGACTTTTACGCAAATCATTTTAATGTATTACTTAATTTGGATGCCATTTTACTTAAATTAAGAAAAAAATCAGCGGAAAATGTAATTAATATTCAAACAATTAAAAAAAAATTTTAATTGTCTCTTTTATTGTGGTGAGCGATAAAACAATACATTAATGATGTAATAAATTTTAAATAAAATTATACATAAAGTAAAACGGATGAAGCATTGCATACTTTGATTTCTTTATTATGATTCTTTGAGATTTAGTCTCTAATCATTGAAGCTTCTGTCATCTTTAACCACTTGGGATAGTCAGTCTGTCTATGCTATGCAATCCTTCTCTTGATTTCTTATTCTACCGAGCTTTTTTCTAATCATCTCACGAGTTCTTATCATTATTACAAAATGCTACAATAGTTGTTTACTTTTCATAAAGTAATAAACTTTTCGTTTGAAATTCTTTCCTAATTTATATAAATAAATGCAAACTACGAATATGAATTAAATGAAAAGAATATCTTGTTTATTGAAAATTTATGAATCTTGTATCCCGCGATCATTTCATGATTATTTCCTGTAGTTGACCCAAACAAATTACTAGTCGCGAACAATCTTCACTTTGATGCTATCGTTAATTATAACACCATAACGTCATTAATCTTTTCCACCAAAAAAACACATTAGCAAATTTTGAAAGCACAATTTTCAAATAATTAATCAATATTTTTGAAGCATTTTTAATGACTTTTTCTCGATCAACATTTTGTTGACTTGTAGAATTTAATTGATTTTTTTTAAATTAATAATTTATCGAACAATTATAACGACCAGTAATTATTTTTTCAATCTTTTTTTTTAAATAAAAATGTTAACGTTAGAAGGAAAAAAAAGAATATAAATTCTAAGTAATAGATCCATTTTTATGGTTACATAAAATTAATTATTTAAATTGGAGAAAGGAGCAAATCTTTTATGTTTTTATTTTTTTATTCAGAATTTCTTGATTTTTTGGAGTGGCTAAAGTAGGTTGGAAAATTAATAGCACCATCTATTGGCGTACTATTGAACAGATTTTTTTTTCATCTTTGTAATTGTTTTTGTACACAATGTAAACTACATAAAATTCAACTACTTTGTATAAATATTGCTTTTTATATTATTTAAATGTATACATAAATTCATTATAAAAGTATATATTGATTATAAAATGAATTTATAATAACATATATAAAATTTTTAAATATTTAAAATATCAAACTTTATATACAGTATTGCAATGTAAATAAGTATTTATCTAATGCTAAATTATCTAATGCTAAAGTATTTATCATGCTAAATTAATTTTGCTTTTTATGAATATTTAAAAGTACTGAATATCTGTAAATTTTAAATTAAAAAGTACTTTTTTTACTGACAAGAATGATGGTTAAAAATTACAGTAATTTAATATGAAATATGTTTATAAATTAATAAAACGATATTAATAGTTTTTTTTTAATTTATAAATAAATAAATATATGAAAAGATTTAATAACCATTCGAAACTGTTTCTATCAATGAACTGGTAAATAATTACGGCAACAAGCGTGAAATTAATGAGAACTGTTTTAAAAGTTAAAGCAGAAAACCAGATGGTACTGCACCTTCATGATAGATTACAATGGTTCAGGAAACAGAGATGAGCTGTTGCATTTATTAGAATATAATTTGTTTCGATTCTATTCATTTGTTTCCTATCACTTGTTTGTTCACAATATGGAGCATTTTCTTAAGATTGAAGAAAAGATGAAAGAAACGATTTGATTCTATTATTACCACAGCTCTCTATCTCTCTTCCTCTCTCTATTTTTTGTGTTTTAGCGTTTAATTAATCACGAAAATGTTTTTACGGTTTCTCCATGTTTACTATGTCATATTAAAAATATGCACATAAAAAAGTTTTAAAGTACATGCATTTAATTTTATTTTGGAGAAAATATCATGTTTAATTTATAACCTGCATAAATTATAATAATTTAAAACGCTTATTGATTTTACAAAACCAATCAATTCTATTATTATAAATTATTTGCTTTAGTATAAAGTTCGTTTAAATAATTTTATATTAAAATATATACATTCATTTATTAATATTTCAATGCTGTTTAACCGAATAAAAATTAATAAGAAGACGACAAAGAGTTTACTTTTTAACTAAAAGCATCTACAGTTATTTTTGCTAGTTGTAAACTCAATTCAATTATTTTAAGACGTAAAAATATTTTAGAACGTTGATTTCGACTGATATTTTTTTCTACTTGTGGCTCAAAACTACTTATTTGTTGGCTTACTTGTTAGTGAATCTTTTTCCAGATTCACTTCACCTGCAAAAGAAAATGCAGTTACTAGTGACGAACCGCTCTGTCTGATAGATAACCCTATACAAACAATCGGTGCTAGAAGACAGAACTTCTCTTTATTTCCTTGTATCATCATCCGGATCATTGTTTCGAGTGATGACAAGTTTGTCCTAATATAAGTTCATCTACAACAATCATTTCTTCTGATATTATCTGAAGTCATTTTTCAATGTTTTTCTATAGGATAAATAATTCTGATAATCTATATTTTATATAAAAAATTAAAGTTTAATATTAAATTTAGACAAAATATATTGGAAAATAATTAAAATAATACATTATAACTGAATAGTTAATTATAAAATGTCTCTAACAATATTTTTATTATAATTCTTAAATAGATATTCTAACTAAAATTCACCAAATAAAAATGGAAGCAACAAATAAGTAAATTGATTTTTTCATATGAGTAACAAAATTATTTATTGTGTTATTATCTAAAAACCTTTAGATATTGAGGAAAAAAGTACAGTACCGTACAGTACATACGAACTCTTATTAGTTTTCCAAATTTCTTGTTTTATATTATTCATATATTTTAAACAGAATCTTTTTAGTGTAATAACTTCAAACAATATATTAAGATAAATTCAGTAATTTATAAATTTTAAAGATATTGAATATATTAAATATTGATATTGAAAACTTTNTAGAAGCTTGAAAAAAATTTTTAAATAATTTTAATATAATACAAAATTCTTATTTTAATTATTTATAAATTTTATTTTAAATTAGATTGTTGTTATAAATTTTAAAATATAATTGAAAAATATTATTATATACTTTTAAAAATTTTAATGAGAATAATTCTCATTCAGCTCTAAATAATCAAATTTACAATATTAATAATAAAAAGTTTTTAAAGTATATTTTTCTCAAATGCTTGTAATAAATAAGAAGTTATTACATTTTACTTAAATAAAACAATTTTGTGAATATTTTAATCTAAGTAATTTAGTAAATGTAGTAAAAGTAATTGACCTTTATAAGTCAATTACTTTTTCTAGATTTACTAAATTATTAAGTAGTTACTGAATTTTTGTGCATCTGTATTTGTCTGGCAATACTGTTGTAT